ATAATGCCTTCACTTTCACCTTTCTATAACTGTCAGTGAATTCCAGTGGGCAGATATTGTTTTTCTTCTTACCTTTTATCCATGATTTTTACTATAGAACAAACGTGTTGAACAATATATAGATTCAGTTCACAACTCTCATTCTGTGTTAACTTTCAACTGTATGTGAGACAAGTATGGGTGTGATCAGAATTTCTGAATTGTGTTGCAAAAATACAATTATGTTTCATATAAATACGACTTATTATCTTCTTTGAAGCACATAGAGGGATCTGATTGGTTTCACTACTTAAAAATATAACATAAGAAAGTTTCAGTTTGTAAGTGGCTCAATGTAGCAGTAAAATTCGTGCATTGTATTAAAATCTATTTCCATATATTATATAAGTTTATTTGTATTTTATGAATGATACATTGTGCTCTAAACATCACCCAATTATTGATTCTGTATCACTGTGTGTTATATCAAATGAAATTGTCTAATATGAAATAGTTAGCCTCTCATCAACATGTCAGTCACTCAAAATGATTGCTTGATATTCGTCTCATATAAAGACAAAGTTTTATCCATCACAGTTGGAGCTACTAAAATCTAAATTAAATGGTTGACTCTAATTGATTTTTGATCTAAATTGTAGATGTTGTCAGAAATTCGATATTATTCTACAGAGTAGTCAAATGGATTTCCAGTGCATCATATGATTAACTGAAAAGTCGTTCGCTGGCTTATCAGTCGCTAGACTGCAATCGTTGCAACTCTCAAGCTCAAAATACCAATCACTGTTTCTCATAAAATTGTAACGGCCTCAATTGAGAGAAGGCATTCTATGTTTTCCTGTGAGCCCAGGGTACTTATTTGTTGGTTCTTATTTTCTGATATGTATTCATAGTTGAGGAATTTTTATTTCCTACCGCCATAAAGATTGACTGCAGTGAACAAGGAAACAATCCATTCAACATTAAGTCCCAATAATTTTAACGAGTTTTCAGAAGATTGGTCATGAAATTAGTTTATTGTGTCTGAAAGTTGAAAGAGGTTTTGACAGATATATTTTATCGAATCCAAATGTTTCCGGCGAATACTTTAATTATCATACCTACAATGCTGTATTATCCTTGGTCGCTATGAACAATTTATAAGGAAGGTAGTAATGCATCATCTCCGGATAAGTATTATACGCGTTATCGTTATATTCCGTCTAATTATCACGATTTTAGACTGAGTTTTCTAGTAATATTAGTGAATAACCGATCAATAAATACACAAAAGTGCCAGGCACTTTCCGAAAGCAGAATTCCTCTGTAGTATCATGATCCTTTTAATATTACAGTATACTCATCATGGACATCTGTTCACCTATTGTAAATATTCAGACAGTTTTCGTAATGAAGGCAATTTTGAAATTCTGTTAAAACTCAGTTGAAATGATCTCTGTGTATTCTGCTAAAGCAGACTTACTTACGGAAGAATTAACTCAGCCCTAACACGGTATACATGCATATATGCATAATGTATTGCTCATTGCAGCCTGTGTTTTTCTGAAAGTAGCTAACCAAAAAAATGTCAGTATTTGGTTTATCGAAACACTTTCTTAAAGCCCGTTTCTTTCTAGGGATTATCAGCTAATGCTTGCACACAACTTATCGATAAGCTATTTTGTGTAACACAATGCTTGTGTTTTGTGAATTTAATTAATTTTACTTGTTTTTGGTTAAAAAAATTTTCAGTTGCATGTTGACAACAATTTGTCCATAGGAGTTACAACTTTTAATGATCGACAGAACTGCATTTCTTTGGAAGCTATGAGTCTTGTTTTTTTCAGCATGCATGTTTATCCTTACTCATTGAAAGCATTGTCAAGGAGATTTATTCGTTATAATCCCTGTTATGGAAACACAGATAACCGCCACAACGATAACAAATACTGCTATTTCTCTAAGATTATGAGCCCTTTATCAGGCTATGCATTTCGTAAATGCCAACTTTAATTCACCAAGTGCCTTATTCACAGTACTACTTAAAAATTCCGCCTTCTGTTGTGTAATGATAAGTTCAAATTGTGGCCAGTTAAGTAAGAAAGTGTGTGTAGGTATCAAACAGAAACATGATTCGACAATCGTATATTTCTTTCACCTAATTTATGCTCTCTGGAACATAACGAAAGCGAAATTAATGACCTGAGCTTGAAATCTTCATTGTTTCCAGATGAAAATATTTAAATGAGCTTTGAGAAACTTTTATTATTTCATTAATTTGTAAATACACAAATAATTCGCCTCGAGATAACATCATATTTTTCAGTTTGAATTGAACGGCAATTTCACCAATACGTTTTCACTTCCTTTTCATTTTAGCCATTTAGTATTTCATGACCTGTTACTATAGTTTCTTCTTCTGCTGGAAATGTCATAGAATGGTTAGTGGACCCTTTATTTGTCGCTGGGTTTTTGAACACAGATGTTAGGAAGGGAAGTATGGAGTACAAACTTAAAAGTATTAGGCTACTGAAAAGTAAAAAATAAGATTAGATGTAAGCAAAGGAGTCGAAACACATTTCATACATGGCTTTTTGTAGAGGTCTACTGATCTCCTAAGTTCTTCATGAGTTAACATACATAAAGTTAGTTCAGTGATCATTAAAATCTGACTAACATGCCTGGTACAGGGTGTAACAACTGTTTAATATCCAACAATAAGTCTGAAGGAATAGTATGCGGTGCTTTTTCTAAGTGCAATGACTAGAACTAGGAATGTAAATAAATTTGACAGCTTTTTCACAAAAATTATATTCCCATTTGTTTCCTTTAATGTTTGTTTTTCTTTTGGTAAATTCCATTTTGCGATGAATATCATATTCACACTACTCACTTTAAACTTTGTTCAAAGTTCGTCAACATTGCCAGTTCACAAAGCTACTCTTGTCGAAATTGCAAGGATATTTATTCATCTATTCATTAATAGATTCTAAACAATTTAATTCTATACTCTCTTTTCGTAGCATTTCACTTACACTGAAATTCCCATAGATATTCGCTCGAATTCTGTTCATAAAGAAAGATTGTCTAGTGAGATTAATCTTGCCTTAAGGTTTAGCAAGAGTCGAACAAGCTGAGGTAAGAAATTGATGAGTTTCTGCAGGAACTTATATGTCAGCCCAATCATTTCAAAAATGATTTCTTCGGAAAATACCAATTCTGTCTACAGCGATATGTCCTAATATTCTCGACGAAAACTATTTCAGGTATAAACACAAAGTAGATTAATGAGAATTCAAGACTGGTATATTCGATTATTCTTTTTCTTTCCTTCACGTTCCCCAGTGGAACATAGGGCTTCAAGCTAGTGACTTGAAGTTTCTGTAGCAGTGTTTATTTTGCTAGCCTCATGCCCGACCTTTTCTCTTCACCAGCATTATTTCTGGCCTAGCGAGGTAAAGGAGTGCGTCGGCCGGGGATCGAGGCCTGGACCATGTGCATGGTCGGCGAGCGTCCTAACCGCTATGCCACCGACGCCGATTATTCTTAATCGATATGTAAGCCCTGTCTTCATGACTACTGTAAGACTTTGCTGCGAACTCCACGACAGAAAACAATTTTTTTGTCCACCTGACCTTGTAATAGAATACAATGACACGGAACAGTGTCATTGTTCCTGTAACATTTTACTTACTTCAAGTTGTGTTATTACTGAAACATATAATTCCAGAACTTGTTCTATTGCTTTATATGGATTTTAGTAACTAGGATCGGAAATTTTTAACTGGAATTGTTAGCAGCAAAAGACTACACAGTGTTACTAGTTCAGTTTCATTGCACGCTATCTCTGATGTTTAAGTAGTATTTGCATGACGTTTTATTGTTGAGTACTAGTGAGACGTACGAGTTTTATTGTTCAAATTATGTTCGATGTCCCTTGAGATTAATGAACAGTTTTGAAGATAGATTAACTTATGTCTGTCATTTATGTTAATATCTTAAAATACGTATTGTCGTATAAAATCCTTATATACTCTGTGATAAATATTTAAATGTTAAATAATAATTAATCGTTAGTTAATGAAGTGGTTTTACGTCAAGAATTTCTTATCTGTAGTATTATTTTCGTCTTAGATAAACATAAGTTTATGACTTTTTTGTTTTGCATTTTTATTAAGCTAATAAATTTACATAGCATTCATTATTCTACTTCATTACAAACAATAATAATAATGATAAAAACAGCATAAGCAAACGCAAAGTCTAAACAGAATGAGAAGTAAAATGAGACAATGTTCAAAACAATACGCAAAGTTTCTATGATTAAAAACATAAGTAAGATGTATTCACTCACATAGAAAGATGAATACTTTGTAAGGGGAAGTTTTTCGCCCTATTGGGAAATTCAAATATGCTGATATATTTATTTATTAATGATAATAGTTCAGTAGTCTGACTACTGATTGATCTCTCTTGATAGGGAAAATTCCATAATGAATGGCTAGAAAGCGGGTCCACATGCAGAAGTAACAAACATTATTTTGTAAATTTAAGCATAATTTTATTACTGAAAAGATGACTATATTACTTATTGGGGATTTAAGGTACATCACATACTGCATGACAGATAGTCTGTGATTTTCGGGTACAAACAGAAGGAGGGGCTGAGCACGGAAAGTTACACTAGCGGAAGAGTTCTCCAAAGTGATATCATCAACGAAAGTGAAACATAAATCTGTAAACAGAAACAGTATTACTGACCTGAGTATATACCAGTTAACTGTACTAAACAGTCGAAACGAAAATCAGTACAGAAGCATAAAATGATAGAAGTATCAGGAGAATGAAAGATAGAAAGGGATTTTGAAGCAGCACTAAAAAAAGATGTATGGTTAGAAAACAATTCTTAACACTTTCTTAAGCATTTTGTGTTCAGATTAGTGCATAAATCTTTGTTTATGTTTATTATATGTTTTAAAAAAATCTTCCATGCTGTTTACCAAAATTTACTTCGATTATATGCATCATGGTGAATAAGAGATGTTATTATTTCTACTTACATTATTCCAAGACGCAGCATCATGGTTAACATAACTGTTGTATGGACTTTTCTCGTTTATATTATTCATTTGTCTTGAGAAGAACATATAAATTGGTCCTTCTTTGTCTATCATTGGACCTTTAGTAGGATCAAGTTTTATGTATGTAACATTTTCTAAATCATCAACATTATATCGTTCATAATTGATCAGTGGGCTAGGTGTAGGTGCAGCTGCATTTACATGTATTTGTTTAACAGGGGATACCATGACAGGAGAAGGTAATTTACGTACTGGTGCTGGTGATGGATAATGGTAAGGTGGTGAAGGAGACCGATCATCAATCTCAGTATCACGAACATTCTCCTCATCAAAGTTCGGCAATGAACGAATTCGGTCACTATCTTTTACTGCCACTTGTCTTAATGCGTTAACATCACGTAGTTTTTTATCTGGATCATTCATTGCTCGTCGCATTAATTCTTCAACTTTCCTAACATTTCCTGCAGTTTTACACTTGTATATCTCATAATACTTTTGCAGACTTCTTTGTGAGTCAATGCATAACACGAAAAACTCTGGTCTGGTATTACTCACATAAAAGTGAACAATTTCTCTGTATGAAACCCATGGACGAAATGGTATTTTCCCAGTTGTTTTTGTACGCTCCAAACTAAAACGATCCTCCAATAAACCAGCATTACAGTGGGCTTGTCTTTTACGATGATACTTTTCCATAAGCGTCAAAGCTTTCGATTCGGTAAAGGATTCTCCAGGTGCACATGTTACTCGATAAATAGTGCATATGTGAGTTTCCAGGAATAGGTATTGTTTAGTGCCAACATGACGCAATATATCGTCGATAGGTTCAGAGTTACGTATTTTACTTGATGAGCGTTTTGACTTCATGTCTATTCAATACCACTTGGATGAAAAATTAACAAGAAGTTAAAAGTTTACTTAAAAAGCTCACCTTTTTTATCACCTGTGTATTTCTTTGTTTAATCACTGATGTTTAGATTTGCTAACGAAATAATTGACTTAATAAATGACAAGTGAACAAATAAGTTGAATATTTAAAAGAACTCGATTAGTGCATTTCAGTTGTTTCTTTACCTATTTGCTTACTATATTTATATGTCTTACACACAATTATATTTTCCGTATTATTCTTTGTATAGTCCAACCAATAGATTGTTTACAAGAATACAACTATTTCAGCATGCCAGAATAGTGGGGGCGGGATTAGTTGCTTTATCAGCTTATGAATGGTACATAGTTTTTTGACAGTTAATGTCGATTGGTAATGCGAACACATAGCACAACACACTGTTGGATTACTCAGCTATTCATTAAAAGCTTTTTTTCTTTTTGTGTACACATTGAGTCTTAATTTTTTTTTCGTATAGTAATAATCGATATATCGATGGAGTAAACCAAAAAATGCAAATGATGAGACAGATAGATACATAGGCAGATACAATATGTGAAAAAACACAGTTGAAAAGTGATGTTCTACAACACGTGAATCACAGATACTTTATAACTGAGCCATGAAAAATCATTTTTGATGAAAGCAGGTATATTTTTTTGATCTGATCAATTTGAATATGATTCTCTTGCTCATTATTGGCTTCAGGTAGAATGGATTGAAGTCTCCGTGAAAATTTCTGGCAGGTGTGATCTATCATGTTAAGTTTGATTTGGATACATTGTGAATCTACAGACTTTGAAATTCCGCTCCAGCATCTGAATGGTCGGCAGGTTGGGCTAGTTACTTAGCTGCCCCGCGTTTGTCCCTAGGTGAGGACGCTGGACGAAATAACTGTCCAGTGTGATAAGGTTTTTTGAGTAACTCTACATGACGTCAGCTCATAACATAATCGAAGTTTTAAGTAAAGATGAACATGAAAACCTCCTGTAACACAATCTCAAGGTGTTTAATATTAATTATAATTAATACAATAATTAACACGTTCGGTCCCGCTAAAGTTAATACAAACAAATTACAAAAAATTGTTTAATTTGTTAGTAATATAATGTGTTTTTAAGGTTGCTAGTAATCTCCTGATATAGTGTCTACAATGTTGTCAAATAAACAGGTTTAGCGTTAAATGTTGTAAAGATTAATGGATATGGGTCAAAGAGCTTAAAGGCGTTTAAAATAGATAAGAAATTTTCACATTTGTCCTCCGGCTGTCCTACTTTCAATTATACATAACTGTAAAGTTGTAAAGTTTAATAACCACTTGGTATATTCAGTTGGAGAAATTTATCATTTTTTCAGAAAGTCAAATTACACCAATTCTTCGTAAATCTCTTGGATTTTAATTACAGAAAAAATAAGACCATGAAATTAATTGTCTTTCTCTTTTAGTGAAAAATTCTTGAACACAAGTGAAAATATGTGGTTAGGTGAGAACCCCCTGGTGAATTGTTTTTCAGTTAATACTTGTGACATAACCTTTTAGATGTCCAATGAACAGTACTGTCACAAGAAAAAATGAAATATATTCACCTTGTTGGTTGAAAGATATAGATCCCCTAAGCTGACCACTTATTCAAGTGTCATCGGATCTATTTAGCAATTGGAAGTAATGATACACTTATTGTGAGGGCTTTTCTGCAATAAGTAAAGCGTTAGATATAAAAAAGGAACAGTCACCGTTCTCTTGGAAAGTATTAGATTATTCGACACTCAGTAAAAAATAATTTCTCTACTCTTGATTAAGTAAGATTCCCAAGTATTGGTTTTGTGGTGATTTTCGTTTAGTTGGCTGGAGGATTTCATTAGGAGCTGACATCAGTTAGAGAACCAATGAAAGACCTGCAGGGAGTACTGGACAGCTATTTCGTCCTAGTTTGGGACTCTTCATCAGTACACACACATCGTTGCGCTATGTCGTGAATTGGTAGAAATTAGAATTCATGGGCTGACCATTGGATCGGGTCCCAGTGGCATAATGGTCAACGAGCTAGCTCGCCTTGTAACCAGAAGGTGCTGAGTTCGAACCCCTGTGGTGGGTGCGTACTGATGAAGAGCCTCAAACTAGGACGAAACAGCTGTCCAGTACTCCCTGTAGGTTTTCCAATGGTTCTCTAACTGATGTCAGCTCATGATGAAATCCTCCAACCTAAGTACGATTCTGTTTCATAAATGACAGTCAGCCTTATTTAGCTGAGGTAATTTTCTGGTCATTTAGTCTGAAAAGTACGTGTATGCTGTATTTTCTCTTTAATGTTATGCTGTCACGTTTTGTGAGTTGTACAACTAGGAAGACTGCTTTTGAATACCTAGATCCTTTTTCCAAATTCTGTCTGTACCCACAAAGGGACCACACAGAATAGAAAACTAAGGAACTCCCAAGTTGGGTTTCTTTACATGCAAAACGCAACCTGACCAGCTCTGTCAGTCACAGAATCCTGAAACCACAAAGAATGAGCTGAGTGCTGTAAGAAAGATTCTAACTGAAATTGGCTGTCCTGAAGGCTTCATCACAAAATCGACAAAGATTATACTGCCAAAATCATATACACCCTCAGTCTAATGGGGATTCATCAGCGGAAATACTAGGAGACCGTTTGTCTTGTGCACCAAGGATAACCTTCTCTAGAACGGAACTCCAAATCACTATATTTACGAAATCAGTGACCCGAAAAATGATGAAAGACAAGTTATCACTACTGGACTCGGAGAAGTGCACTTATTACTTAACATGTTCTTGTGGAGCAAGGTATTTCAACCGTTTGAAATCTACATGCATCATCAGTTATTGGCTTTCACGGTTTTATTGAGGAGTTGATAGGTTTCCCCGCAGCCTTTTCCAGAACACCTGGTTGACTTTGGACACCAAATGACTCCTCTGACTAACTCCATGTTATGTTCACCAGCACGTTGGGACCTTGTCCAAGCTGTACGAACCAGTCTGCTGCAAACAATAGAAGTCATGTGTTCTACATATAGAGAAAGTTTCATTAGTCACAGAGCTTATAGTAGATCTGATCTGTGTGACTATTTGACCTGTCATATTTTGTTTTTCAGCTTTTACACTACTCTTATAACTCCACTCCTTATGAGAGTGATGTTGACCTGACCTTCTTTCAATTTCAAGTGAGCTACACTCAATTTTTCAATGATGTTGCATCACTCAATTTGCCTAAGTAATTTTCTTTAGAATCTTTTTATTTTTACTTAGAACTCAAAAATGTATTGATGCATCTTCGAAATCACTTCTTTTGTTATTAAGGCAATTTATTTTACGTACTCGATTTTACAGCTTGAGAATGATACCAGTGGAAAAGTAGGTTTACTGGGTTTCTGATTTTATGCTACCTAATAGAGACTGTCATGACACACCTCTTTCATCATCTGAGCCATTTTTATTGTAAGACGATAGTATGCATCAGCACATATTTTTCGCAAATTTGTCACCATGTGGTCAAGTAAATCCTGTGACTAATTGTTGAGATCTCTCACAAAATGTACTTTGCACTACAGTTCTTAAGAAAACCACAATTATTTTACCTGCCTTGTTTTAATTCAGTAATCACTCGTGATACACTTTAAATAAAATAAGCTATGAAAAATTAAATTTTGATTAGAATGTTTTTATGAATTAGTGTATAGGGAAGGTTTAAATTTCTCATTCATCTAGTATTTAAATGTAGTGAACTTTGTTAGTCTCCAGTTAACTTCACAGATTTCTATATTTAAATCTAAGTATTATGGTATGCTGGCTTGACTAATATCAGACGACTCTGGCATCATGTGAATTCGAGTTTTATCAGCTAAATAACTGAGTCCCTTAGAAGTATTTTGCTTACTGTGAGATTTGCTGCCTCTGATAGGTCCATAGGTGTTATATGTTTCTTGAAACTTCATGCAAAAACATATTGCTATGATGCAATATTTCATTTTATGCAGACGATTAGAACAATTAGTATATTTTCGTAGTATTCCTTCGAATGTATGCGAATTCGAACCTTATTACAATAAGTCACGGCTTGCAAATAAGTCGCTTCAATACATCTTCCCTTCTTCGCTTATGGTAAAGTGTGGGATTCTGTTTTGTAATATCGTAAGACAAACTAATGAAATTCAGCAGAAAGTACTTTAATATGACTTTTCTCTCGCGGCTGTTATGACGTTGACTGAATGCAGTCTATCATAATATTTCGTGTAAAGTTTATTAGCTCTCACTTTAAACTATTAATTTACTTATTATTGATTTTTCTGAAAGTTTTCCTATAGATTCTTCTAGAAATGTAGAAAGCTTTTATATCCAAAACTCCATTGTAGCTCATATTGTGTTATTTACGATCCAGTATGATCTTATATTTCTTAATTTCTGCTGTACAGGAGTTACTGAAACTGGAAGACAGGTTAATTTATAATTGGATTGTGGAGAATTCCCAAGACCATTGGTTTTCTCAAATTTCTTTTCTGTGGTAAAACTCATAAATTAACACAATATTATCCTAAACTGCCATTCACTTATGACATTTTCACTTCAGCATAGTCTTAATCCAGAATCCTGCTTAAATGGGAAATGGTGGCTTTTTTCCCTCTCTGTTACTGTTTACTAAGGAATAAACAATCCAGAACTAGTAATCTGTGTTACATGTAAATAGATATAAGTGCTATATTTTCAATACAGCAACGATAACATATATATATATATATATAAGTGAAAAAGCTTCTACAAACGAAACTTGTAAAGATGGTAACAATACTAAGGAGAACAGAATACTCAATGTAATATGAAGAACGAAACATCCTGAAGTCAAATCGACTTATATCATTAATGCAGGACGTTTGTTCATTCCTTCACTTTCCAAGTGGAACACAGGGCTTCAAGACAGATGCTTGAAATTTGGGTAGCAGTGGTGTTTATTTTTATGGGATGGGG